TTAAGTGAACTGTGACCAACTTGAAACATAAACAGTAACGATCTACAATGCACAATAAAAAAATATTAGTGTGTTAAATATTCTTTCAAAAATTTCTGATTCCAAAGTAGTTTTTTTACCTTTAAATAAATTAGAAAACTAGGATATGTTACACCATTTTAACGCCAGCAGGACCTTGGAATCTTTACTTGAATTCTGGTCTTGACATTTATCTTGGCGTTTACGGTAATTCATTTATATTCAGGGTGTTTCGAAACAGGTTCATTTTTTTTCAATGCTGGTCAAAATTTAATTTCACATAGACTACTAGCCTGCGTAGTAATTTACTACATAGTATACGTATGTGCGCATAGGATATCCAATTTGTAATTTATTAAAGGGGTCATCAATACCGTAAAAGTTCTTATTTACATCTGGTATATTGTGTAAAATCCATCGATTGTTTACCGTTCATCACTACTAAAAGAATCTCCTATAAATAATGAGCATTTTATACAGAGCTATATGTAGGCCACTGGCATAAATTTAAAGTCTTATCTAAATTTTCGCTCATACATATACCGCAAGTTCAATCAATTGACAAGATGAACAATATTTTGAAATAGATTGCATAAGATAATTAGAAAGTTCGTTAGTGATCATACTACGTTCCTCGACTAAGTTGCGCTGTTACCCCAACACGATAATGAAAAAAATACGAATGTGAAAGAAATCAAAAAATAGTAATTTATATTGCATACATAAAGCCTTCGATTATTGGTAACGCTTGTTTTTTTCCACCCTAAGTTCCATAGATCGTCCGGTTCTTGGTAAAGTCTGCTCAAGCTAAAACAAGTGCACTTTAAAATTTACCAAAATTAATTCATCAGCAAAATTACCACTTAAATAAATAGTTGCTTGCTAGCTTTTATGCTTTTACATGTTTTTATGAATACGCTATTTTCTATAAGACTTGTTTGCAAATAAAGATTATATACCAAGCTTATGATAACTCCCCAACGCAAAAACCCGGGCACATAAGTGGCTGTGGCTTTTCTGAAAAATTTTGCATTGATAAAAATGTAACAAGTACGAGCGTGCATACGTATGTATGTACATAGGCATATGGGGTGAATCAGTAGAAACGCACCGTATTTTTTCTAAATAAACTTTTTTAAAACTTTAACCAAAAATAACACAAATTTTTTTAAATTAATTCTACAAACTTGTAGAATTTATTTAAAAAATTTTGTATTAAATTTGATTAAGCCTTTGTTGAGTTATTTTTTATTCAAAAATTCAAAAAATTTCATTAAAAAAGATTAGGTTCGTTTCTACTGAATCACCCCATATATTTATAATGTTAAGTGTTGATTCTACCAGTCCACCCATGACAAATACAAGTATTTGAAAAAAATACGAAAAAAATTTAAATATAAACATTTGTTCTTATATAATTCCCATATAAATTGAATACAAATAAAAAAAAAAAAAAGCGAATTTATTCGATTACAAATCATGAATCCTATTTAAGGTTCTTTATGAACAACTTTAACCATCAGGTTAAATAATTTCTTAGTTAATTTTCGTTGTATTTAATCTATTTTGTTAACTTATTGTTTTAATTGCTAAATTCTTTCTAATTAAAATTGGCAAATTGCAGGTTTACAAAAAATTTTATCGCTGCATTTTTTTTTTATTAGTTATTCGAATAAGTTTCCATCCAATCCAGTTTCTTTACCTAAACGTATATGTGGTTTGGCTCAACAAAATTTATAACAGCTTCGGTCTTAATCAAAGTCGATAATTTATGTAACTATCAAAAGTTTTTTCTTTAAATTCTACAGTTGTTAGAGTACAAATACGCTAAAATATCGATTTTTAAAAAATAAAAACAAGAAATATCGATTTTTAAGTAAAAACAAGAAATATCGATTTGTAAAAAGTAAAAACAAGAAATATCGATTTGTAAAAAGTAAAGACGAGAAATATCGATTGTAAAAAATAAAAACAAGGAATAAAAAGGAAATATCGATTCATAAAAAGTAAAAACAAGAAGTAATGTTTTATTGATATCGGATTAATGTTAACATCGTTATCGGAGTAACAAATTTCTTTCACAGTAACAGCCACTTATGTGTCCGAGGTTGTTTGTTGGTTGCGCCAGGGAAGATGCTTGATTTTCTTTTCGCGTGGTTTGCACCTGTAAATATATAAAAAATTATTTATCAATTGCGTATTTATAATTTAGAAGAATAACAGCATAAATACCATGAATACTGATCTGTCATCACTTGGTATCATCGTATGTTGGTGAGCATTTAGTGATTGCTTCAAATTGTTTAAAGAAATATAATTTCCCCAAATAATGATTATTAAAAGATTTAAATTTGGAAAGAGTGAACACTTGAGGAGAAAATATTAATATTGATGCAATATTATTTGTTGATTTTTGAAGAAGAGTATAATAGGCTTGAATAACCGTATTAACAAATTCAGATCTGAATAAATGAAATTTATTAATCTCGTCTTCATTCACATTTTCGGAAACCCACTTAGAATGAATGTCTTCAAGATCAATATTAGAGATATGAGGATCCAAATTGTCCAATAAATCTTGGTTATCTTTCAAAACGGGTTTTACCATGTGTTCCCAAATGTCAAAGACCCTATAAAAACCGGGAACACGGATTGCAATATTTTCCTTTACAGAGTGTTCTAGAACAATAAGTCTAGGAAACTCTCTCCACTCATCGGGAAGTTTTGAATTTTCACTTTCGTCACTTCCGACGGCTAACAAAAGAGAACAATCTTCAAAAAGATTAAATAGACATTGCATTGCTTTATGCTGAATGTCTTCAGAAATTTTGTCAGAATTCAATGTTATTAGCTCGATCAAAGAGTCTTGCATTGCAATTTTTTCTTGTTCAGAATAAACAAATATACATGCTCTAGATTTGTTCATGGATAGATATTTGAATATCTCTTCTAAATACGTTAAAAATTTATCCATCAATGAGATAAATGTTGGTAAGGCTTCATCGTTATATTTATAAACAGATTCAGCGTGTCGAAATTCTTCTATGATGCTTCCATCACTGGCATAAAGGCATATAGCCCAACCAAAAGGATATAAGACAAAAGGGTCTGATGACATTGCGATTACGAGATTATGATCGGTTTGCTGAGGAAAAGTTGCAGTTGGGGTGCCAATAAACTGCATAAAATAATGAATTATTATAAAAATCTTTTATCAAACGATTTGTAATTTCGAAATTAAAGAAAAAAAAAAATTTTTATTACTTGGACATCGCCTGTTTTATATGCATCAAAATAAGGCGAGCTATTACGATCATTATCATATCTAATAATCTGCTTAATTTTTCTATTGACATTCATCGTATCCTCGTCATTAATTATAGGATTGCTAACATAATCAGTCAGATCTTTATAACCTGGTTCATCTTTTACTGTTTCATTACTGCTACTATTAACTATTTCATTCCTGCCGCTAATGGTAAATTTTTTAAAACCATTACACAAATCTTCAATGTCTGTATCACCATTTTCCTTCAATAACTTATCTTTATTCTTCACATTTCGAATGGCCTGTTTCAGATATGATGCATCCCCTATTGACAAATATGGGATCATAGCTATTGTCACTTTAGCTTCTTCACGACAATCATCTACGAATTCACAAGTTCTACAACGAGCATTATAGTGCCATGAAACTTTTGGAACTGATGCAATTTGCGGAAGATAAGTTTGTAAAAATCTTTTAATTTTTGGCAGTAAAAAGTCGATACGAAAGGTTTGCTTTTTAAAACCTTCCGACGATGATAAAAATAGTCCGCCTAATCGTGACATTGAAATGCCACGTAAATTTTCGGTCATATGTTTCAAAAGAAAAACGTATGAAGCAACTTGAAACTTAAAAAAAAAAATGTAAATATTAAAAAACTTTTTAATTGTATCAAATTGAAATTATACATATAAGGCACCATTTCGAAATGATTTACCTGATGAGGAACACGTTCTTCTTTTGATGCTTTTGCATCCCATAGCATTACCGTATAAACTCGGAATAACGCCCATCTGCGCGTTAATTAAATGACCTGCGCGTTATTTTGGAACGCCCATGT